GAAAAGAATACACTTCGCTCTGCGACACTGAACATCACATAAACGTGAAACGCCATGCTAAGTTTCAAAACACAAACTGTTTTTGTAATGCTAAAGCGTTAACTGTCCCATGGACCCAAGCCGGCGGCGTCTGCAACCACGAAAAACGTGCAAAAAGCCGGTGGCTTCTGTAACCGCTGTAGTAACCGCGCAAAGCGCGAAAGAAATTCCGAGCGAAACGGCTCCGAGATAGCCATTGGCTCGGAAGCGTCATAGTTCCAACGAACGCCACACCCACAGAGAAGCCCTCTTCGTGGCGCTCCGGCCCGCACGCCAAGGAGCTCGCTCGGCCGTCGCTCTGGTGTCAGTCGTCGTAATACCTCCTAGAGAAGAAGGCCGTAGCACTCTTCTCGTGACGTCGCATGTGAAGGCCGTCGGGGGCGCGCCTTGAAGCGAAGGCAACGCGCGTGGATCGACCGTCGTAACGCGTTTTTAGTCACATCCGCGTGTCTTATTAGCTCAAATGAAAGCTGCACATAGCAACGGGTCTAGAAAACATTTTATTACACGAGCAAAATACTACACCGCTCAATAATCGGTATGAAATGGCACGAGGTATACGTATAAGACGTCTATTGAAAAATGTGATTCTTTTGAGTCAAAAACATTGAGTCACGCAATTATTCTCGTAGGAATGCATATTTTATGCAGAAACACTTCGACAAAATGGCGAGACACGCAGTGATTGGAAACAGCAAAACAGATCAGTTAAAAATCAGGTAAACGTAGTCAACGCGGACAAGGGAAGACAAGTGTCACTTACGATGATCATGTAAGCGACGTTATCGCGTGCAGTCACTGAAATCTTGCATGACATCCCGGCCACATAGCAAAATTAATGTAATTTCGATAGAATGGCATTATGGGGTCGACAAATCCGCTCGCCGCGCTCGTATAATCACTCAAGACCGCGAGCTGATTAAATCTTATATCACTGAATGAAAATATATAAACTTTTCCGTGTGGCAGGGGTACTAAATTTACAACTAATTTACTTCTCCCTATGGGCTCGAGCTCCGTAGAAGAAAATATAACTTATTTTGTATATAATAATGCTCTTACCTTAATACAGTTAAGATTCTAGTATGAACGCGGTAAAGGCAATAAAATAACATTAGTATAAATAAACACAGAACCACAAACAACGCACTTTAATAATCACACAAACTTGTTTTGCTCCTTCCAGTGAAAACTAGATTACCGCGCATATTTACAAATGTCGACGCAACTGCGCACGAATAACGACAAAGAACAAATTCCAATCTATCACGCGATTAAAAAAAACGATTGCAGCATTTTACTTGCCTCCTACATGACCAAGAAAGCCTGTAAACAAGTTGTTTTTCACCTGTCGATCGTATCCATACGTCCCACAATATCCGTGACGAAAACATTTGAACACGAACTCCAAGTACCTCTCTCTGTCGAGACAGAGGTCTATCGATTAATCGACCAGAGTCATCGTTGGCTAGTTGTCACACATGTCACTCAAACCGAAGCAGGACTTGTTTCACGAATCCACGTAAATTCCGTAGTATCAAGCGAACACAAAAAAAAACTACCCGAGACTACGGTGATGACAGAAGTACGACGGGAAACAAGTCTCAAAAGTACCACACACGAGAGCAGCGGTGACGGAAGGCTTAACGTTGTCGACCTATATCTCTTGCTCGTGTGCGCTCCCTGCGGCAATGACTGTTTCTTTTTTCGGTTTCATTTCCTTCTGAAAAGTCTCAGCGTTCCTTTTCAGACAGTCAGAAGCTCAACCACAACGTAAATTTACCAGAATCGGGGCCCACTTGAAGGAAGATGTGACATCGGAGCCGGTTCTTTCGAAAAGTCTGGGAAGCTGCGGGACTGCACGTAGTCCCGCGGTTACGGGGATACTCATAAATATAAATTTGGTACTCTCAACCTTGTTAACGTGTTGTATATTACGCTTATATTATATATATAATAAATTGTACAAGACTGCGCCTTTAAAACGTATATTAATGGCGGATATACGCGCACGAACACCACCGCGCCGCTTGACAAGAAACGTTTGTTTCACGTCGATAGCATCGATAGCAGATATTTTCTCACGTAGTTGTGCCATGGCCTTCCTTCCTCTGACATTGTGACGTAACCTCTCAGAGCGCTATGGCCTTCTACTCTAGGAGGTGTTGGCCGTCGCTGGGAGAGAGGGAGAGAGGGGGTAGGGGCGGGGGGGGGGGGGGGGGGGAGGAGGCGGTTGCTTCTGCTCCTTTCGACGCCGAGGAACATGGCGGCTCCTGAGGCATCTATATCGTCAGCGGCCGCAACCTCGGCAGTAGCGAAACGTGGCCGTCCACGCCAGTATGCACCGCAGACAAACTAAGGGAGCGAAAGAACGACATTCAGGCTTGCGCATTCAGAACTCATAAGGAGTGCTTAGGTGTCCTCCGAACTTTTCTTAAATATTTTATACAAATGTTACTTGCAGCGATTAGTACTCCGAATTGCTTTGCAGGAAAAGAGACGTACCAGATTTCATGGAGTGTTCCTCGTCTCACCCTGCAATGGACTTTTTAAAAGCCTGCAGGCCACCATGCCTAATCACTGGCCGGTTGAAACCCACATGGTACGTTGCTCCGACGTGCGTAACAGTGCGGGCCTTTGGGCGCATCGGTGAGCATGTCGAATCGGTCTATCACGAGGTATCTAACCGGCTCATGATTATACGTGGCGGCCCATAGCTTTGACTTCGCTTTAAACCGTCATATGGTGAGATAAAGTATTTGTGTCTTGCACTGACGTACCATTAGTGGCAATTCTGGTCGTATCGCTGCTGACCGCGTACTTTATGAACCATGCATTTCGCACCATCAATTTCGTTTTTATTTTTTTTTTCTCGGCGAGTACAAGTAGGATATACCACCAGCATGATGCGATGACTCGACGTACAAGCTGTATTTAATTGCGGGCAACGTTAGTAGATTAGGGTTCTGGAACTCCGGAGGCAGTACCCCAGCCCCTTCAGTCCGCCTCCCGCAGAGCCGTATATTGGGAGAGTTTGGCCAATGGGCAGAGCCAAGGCTGCCGCCTGCGCTGAATGTTTCCCCCGTGTTTAGAGCGTAAACTAAAAGGGCGACACAGTGTCGACCAATCAGCAGACCTTGACGTCACGATATTGGAAACGATATTTAAAGCACGAAATAGAAGCGTTCAATCTCGCAGCAGCAAGACGACGCCGACGGCGGCGGCGTTTAGTGGACGCCTAACCGGGCGTCGTCGGTGTCTTAATCTAAGCCCTGGGCGTCGGTACCTAGGAGGCGGAAGCTTTCTGCTTTGACTGTGCTACGCCCTTGGAGCCTGGTGCTTCGACCCCAGTGAGCGACAGCACCATCATGCTCCTGCGGCTTTTTTGTGCAACCGTGCACCGATCAAACGGCAGGCTGCAGATCCCCTTGGCCCGCTGCTGGCGCGCCTCAACGAAATATGGACATCTTCAAATCGGACTAACATCCTCCGCAAAAGCAACAATCCATCTCGTCGTCATCTTGCATGTGTATACTCATCGCATTATCATTTGCATTAGACGCGGCACCGCAGGCCTCAATGGTACGGGCTGTTGCCTTTCCGCGGTGCCGTGGCTCTCAAGAGCCGAATAAAGACATTATATTAGCAATGATCGCAACTACACAGTGTGCTCTGGTCAAGAACGCGCGTTCCTTTATTCTACCGCTGAATATGGACTTGACGAGAACCTCACATCCGCCAAGTTTTCAGTCACCGAGAGTTACACCTTTTTACACCAGCGACGCTAAAACGGCTTACATTATTCGAGTCACATTTTTAGAGCTCACGACCACCGCTAGAAGCTGTTCCGCGGGCGGCCTGTGGTGGGCCACGATATGCTCGCCTATTCAAACGAATTAATGGCTAAACTCTCCCAATATACGGCTCTGATCTCCCATCGTTTGAAGCGCCATCTGGATTTTCGTTTCAAAGTGGGTGTTCCAAGTACGATAAAGCGCCATCGCGCTCAGCTTCAAAACAAATGCTTTACATATTAGCCCTTTGAAACGCTCAACTTCCCGACGAAAAGAGCTTCCGGAGGGGGTGACAAGCGCGACCGTTGAAGACGCCGGTCACAGTGATGGACCGGTCGCTATGCAGACGGGGACCGCCAAGAAAGCTCCGGCAAAGACCGAGAGAACGGTGAGAACCGTTGACACGATTTCGTGGGAATTTCGACCCTAACCCAGAACGTGTGCCCCACGTTCGCAGTGTCGACTCATGTTTCAGAAAACTTTTCTCGTCAATGTCTCCATTTCTGGCTCAGTAAACGCACTACTTGAAACTCCCTATTTCCACCAATCTCTTAAAATTATCCATTCACGGGCTTTCAGCTTCATCCAAAAACAAAAAATGCTTGCGCCGTGGTGCGCGGCTTTTCAAGGTCATCTCGGTTTCAGTTTACTTCGCACGATTATCACAGAGGAAATATGCGGCGTGACGGAGGCAACGCTTTCGTCGCTCCACCTTGGCTCCCGCCAGCTCCTCCCATTGAACAAACCCTGGCACTGCCGACACACCAGCGGCCACTGTGGTAGAAAAAATTGGGTTGTCTGTATGTTTATACAGCCTAGAACTTGGTCTGCCTCAACGGGCGACGAGTCTCCCAGCTGTAGATGAGCAATTTAGCCAGTGCAGTATGAACGCTAGCCTAAGGTCTTTAACGTGCATCACGCAGTAGTGATACACAACCGGACGCCGGTACGATGCTGATCCAGATCGAAACAGGCAGGGGCGGAGATTGAACCCAGGATTCCATTGTGATAGCCTTGGCACTGAGTGCGCACTCTAGCTTCTACGGCATGCGTTTTGCACCACCAAATTCGTTTTTCTCGGCAAGAATAAGTAACAATGACCCAAAATGGCAATGACGGCACACGCAAGTGATGTATGCCCGTTTCTGAAAGACGTGTGGCTCCTACCTGCAACGCGATCCTGTCCACGTCCTGGAACACGGCCATGGACGGTATCATCTCCCGCTTCTTGCAGGGCGGCGGTCGAGCAGCGAACTCGGGCGCTTCGTCGGTCACCAGGTCGTTGACGGTCTGCACGCCGGTCTCCCGGCGCGGGACCTTCGAAGACGTCCTCCGCGTCCTGGTACGTAGCCTCGTCCGGGGTCTGGGTTCCGAGTCCATGTCGTCGAGGATCTGAGCGATGCTATCCGAGAGTCGACCCTCTTCGGCAAGGTTCTTGCCGATGTGCGTCATCGGGGACGTCAGCTCGTCGTCCGAAAACTCCTGAGGGAGAAAAACCTCTATAGCAGCACCGCCTTGGCTAGGAGGCCGTAGTGCTAAATTTTCAACGTAACCTAAAAAAAAAAAATGCGGAGCCCTGTAAGGACACGAGTTTTGCGCCACCGTTCGGCTGAGGCTCGTGTGCAATCAGTGATGACACGTGTCTTAGCCGAACGCCGACGCGGAACGGCCTTCTTATCTTGAAGGTGTGGTACGTCGTCATTGACAAGGTGATACAGGCAGGGAGGCCTTTCAGTTGTCCCGCCCCCAGCGCCAAATTTCTGCTGTCGATAACATTCCGCTATCGTCCGAGCCTCAAGCGGGCACGTTCAGCCAGAGCACGAAGGAAGGCAACGAACGCGTGCTGGGGTCAGGCATCTGAAAGAGATGTCCTGCCGTTCTGATGCTGCCGCTGATAATAATTAGTGTATTAAAAAATGCATTGAAATCGGCTACATCTTTGTCATTTATTTATTTTTTTAGGTACCCCAACCTTAGCTTGCTCCAACTAGTTTAAAAAGTGAGGCAATGCTGGTTTTCCTTTTTCTTTTATGAACGCAGAGGATCGATCGGGGGACTGAGATGACAGAATAACGGGTCTACGTTTTGCGGTTTAAATTCTAAACTGTAGGTTTTTGTTTTCGTCCTAGAACAGTAGTTTTTATATTCGTCTTTCCCTTCAGAATAAGCGTGGGAATGTAACAAGCAATGAGAACTAAACACAGAGGAGAACTCAACGGCCGTCTTGAACGCCAACTTGTCGTAATCGTCATTCTTTTATTATCATCCAACCAGTCGCATAGGATGTTTCTTTATTTGGTTATTGACTCGTAAACGTCCATGAGGCATTCTGGTTCTACAAACGAGCCAAGACATTGCTATTGATGTATTTTTTGTGAGCTCTTTGCATGAATTAATTTGGCTAGGGATCAGGTGATCACTCACGTGAAAAAACGCTTTATAAGTTAATCGTCTGCATGCTGTGATAAATTTGTGCACAGCGTTATAGCACGCTGCGTGCACAGCCCAGATTTATTTCCCGAAATAAAGGTGGTGCGTCTTAATACAGGGTGCTTCAAACTACCCTAGCTGTATTATTGTCAACGTACCTCCTGGTGTTTTCAAGTACCCCAGCTGTACTATCCTCAACGTACGTGCCAAACTTTAAAAGGAACCTTCTGGAACCCTCAAAATGGTTGCTGAAATTTTACTCAAAGACAGCTTCTTCTCTGCTTAGACTCAGCGAGAAAAAAAAGGATGTTCCCGTGGAGAATCCATGAGGTTTTCCTTGGCAAGTTTCGGCCACCAGCTTCTACTAGCTTCATGTCCTGTCCGAACCTCGTGGTGCTCGTTGCCTGGCGCCGCGTTGGCGGCGGGCGCCCTGGTCACTGGATCGGTCTGCGACTCGATGTCCGAGGTCGGCATGCGCGATAGCAGCGCGCCCAGGTCCGGCTCGGACACATCGGGAGGTAGCCCCATCGGCCGATGCAGGGAAGCCCCGCCGCCGCTCCTCGCCCCCGGCCTCGAAGCCGGGGCCGTGCCGGCGCGCTCGGTCTGCGTCCACCTGCACTTTCAAGGGGACTCAGTGGTAGTGCATATGGCGCCTCCTGCACGCCGCCATCTTTGTCTCTTCAGATGTGGGATCTTTCTGCGTCATTTGACGTCATGATGGCGCTTAAGAAGAGGACAAACAGGAGACTAGACAACACAGAGCGCTACTTCAACTGTTTATTTTGAAAAAAAAAAAAAGGGGGTGGGGGGGGGGGGGGGGGGACATATATACACTCAAACCGCTACACCTCAACCAATTCGAGGCCTCACCGTCGCTCGCAAAAACGCTATCTCTTTGTCTAACAGGTCAATGGAGGCAACGTTGACACATTGCGCTCCAGACTGTTTTATCAAGTCCGCTTCTATTATTTCCCTGACCGTTTTATCCTTGTGTCTGGCTGGTCACTCACAGCCTAGGGCGTGGATTATTATGTTCACGTTTCCCGCTTTGTGATTGGTTCTTCCACGTTGCCAATGCCTAATGCCGCAACCTGATTGGCTGCTGAACGATAATCAGATGCTCGGGACTCGCCACGTTCTATATTACTCGAGATACCAGCGAGATATGGCGCCTTCTGTGTGCAGCCATGTTTATTTCAATCTTGATTTGCTTTTTAAAGTACAGTTAAAATGTAAATCCAGCATAACCATATACTGGCTCGTGCGCGGGACGCAACAGATTCCTCTGCATTTTTATTTTTTATTAGTGAATTATGAATCTTGCACTAGAGCGCGCCACTGCAAAAATAAACGGAATTTCTAGCTCCAGACAGTTATTGTTACCGTCTATTCCACTAATTCATTAAACAGCAGTAATGCATCAGGTATGTTGCATTTCCGTACTACTTAAGTCACGTCGTTAACTACAATTCAACTTATCGAAGCAAACCGATTTTCTAGGAGAACTCTTTACTCTGTCCAAGTATCGACGTTTTTGGCAACTTTTTTTTTCCTTATTTTGGGTGATTTTATCTCGAGCAACTCTTCAGGTAACCCGTTAAAAATCTTGGGCACATAACGATTTCATCTGGCCTTTCCATATTTTGTATAAATAAATGGTCCAAAAAAGTTTCTATTCGGTCATAATGTTCTTCCGTTGGCATTTTACACTTCGTTTGTTGTTGAAAAAATGTTTTATTATAATATCATATTTCATCTGCTCTTTAAAACACAACATTCCTAGTTCCTTATGCACATAGCATTGCAGATCATTACTGCCGAACGGTTATAACGAAGTCGGTTATAACGAAATGGTGGCTACGGCGAAGTAATCACGATTTCCCATCCCCGTTTGCACTGTTGAAGTCACGTGACGTCGATTCCCCGCTAAATTTAGCGGGGAATTGAATTTTTGTTGAGGTCACGTCGCGTCAAATTTTTTCGCTGAATTTAAAGGGGCCCTGCAAGGACTTTTTACTGTTTTTTTTAATTTGCACCGAACCTGAGCGCACTGAACGTAGTAACTTAGTGAAACTTTTCTTTTCGCGAAATTCGCTTTATTTTAAAAGTTAGAGGCAATTTAGAATTACAAAAACAAGCAAAAAATAATCTCCTTCATGACGTCGTAGGCCCTGGCTTGAGTAGCCGTGAACTAGAGGAGGAATAGTGAGCTCATCAAGCGCTCACGGCCACCGCACTCCGTGTCGACGGCGCCAGAGGGCGCCACTAACGCATGTTTTGGATAGGCTGTATGCAGCGGGCAGCCAAAGCGGCTTTCATTGCGTTCGCTGCGCGATTAAACACTAATTCGGCATGACACTTCATTGGCCACAAACGACAGCAAACACGGGGTAAAGATCAGTTCAGAATGGGAGCCACTTCGCGCTGCCATACCGCGAAACGGCCAAACCGCAAGACAAAGCCTCTCGCCGAAGGCCTTCGGAACGCTCGGAACCGGTCGGATCCTCCTGTCCAGACGACTGCAGCGCCACCGCGTACATCCGGGATTTTTCCGTGTCGGCGCCTTATCCCACTACTCCTTTCTAGTATGCGCCGCCTTTTCCACCGCTTGGCGGCGGGTATGTTGACGGGTCATTCCTTGTTTCCGTACTTTATAAACTGCATTTCTTTCTTTTTTTCATCTATAATAGTGAACAAAAACTACTTTCATAAATAATTGAAACGGTTCGCGTCACTTATATTTTGTATTTCGACCAAAAAGAAATTTTTAGTGGCTCTGACTAGTAGTAAGCCCAGGACAAAAGACGTCACATTTTGCGTGCTTTCGGTACCGCGGGTCGCCCTCGTCGGTGGAGGAGGTTTCCGTGCCGTCCGGTTAAAATATGGCGCACTGATATTTAGCTACTCTTTCCGTGCCCGCTGGCTTGCCCGAACCCCAAGAGACGTGGAAACCGCATAAAAGGTAGACGCTTAAATATGATTGCAGGGCCCCTTTAAAACTCGGGGAGGGCCATTACCCTCTTTTTTATCTAGCCTACAAGCTAGCTTACAGTGTTATAATTGTGTTTACTGTTCTATCGTTTTTTTTTTTTTTGTTCTATACTAACCCCCTTGTATAATGCCCCACGGGCCCTCAAGGAAAATAAATGATGATGATGATGATGCGGGGTGGAGGGTATGAAGGAGGAGGGGAGGGTACGAAGGAGCGGAATAGGGAAGTACGCTGAAGGAGTAGGGGAGGGTATGGAGAAGGAGGAGAGGAAGGTAAGGAGGAGGAGGAGGAAGGCATGCGGAGGAAGATGGGACAGGAGAAGGAGGAAAGGAGGATCAATAAAGCTTGGGTTTGGGCGAGTTGGTTTTTATTATTTTTTGTTCTCGCTGAAAAAACAGGAGAGTTCGTGATTTTGGACAAAGAAATGTACGGAAAGAAAGCAGCGGAAGCCTTTCTAATGAACTCCTAAGAACTAAAAGAAACCAATGAGAAGCGTTTGCATAAAGCACGAACACAGGTGGCAAGGCGCTGTGCAGAACTAGGGCTAGTCAAGGTCGCAAAAGAAGTTAAAGGCAGCGAAATACTGAGCATGAACCCGTTCTTTTCGGTGAAAACCTATAAGGATGGTAATCCATTCCGGATTATTGAAGAAGATTGAGGCACGTGGCAACGACTGATTGCCAGGGAACTACAAAAACACCTTTCCCTACTGCTGCTGGACGACCCGTTCCTTGTACACAACTCGGAAGAAGTGGTTCCATTCTTGAAAGACACGATTCCCATTTCTTGCTTCTCAGTGGATGTCAAGGACTTGTTCTACAACGTTCCACATGAAGGAGTCCTAGGAGCGGTGGAAGAGTGCACTGATGCCCACGGCAGCATACGATTCCAAAACCAGTTTGGGATGAGCACAGGGGACTTCCTGGATGTCGTTCGGACATATTTACATTCCCTGCTCGTCAGGTTTGAAGGCCGAGTTACAAGCAAAAAGACGGCATCTGTATTGGATTGTGCATAGCACCAGCGCTATGTGACTTGACTTGTGCCTGACAAGGGGTAACCGCAGACTTCGCCCTTTTTAGAACATATAGGTGTTGTAAAGTGTTTCGGATACGTTGATGATTTTTTGCTGTTTTCCGAAGCACAAATTAACAGACACTATCAGAGAAAAGGTCATGAGCCGGGTCAGGAAATTGCATGGCGGACTGGATTTCACGTATAAACTTCCAGATGGCGGTTGCTTGCAGTTTTTGGGTGTCAACCTGACCATCGGGGAAGCGCACACATGTTGGATGTAGAAGACAAACGGAGAGAAGAGAATTTTACCTTATGACCCCACCCACACTAAGATAGTTAAGAAAAGTGTCGCCTCAGGGTGCTTATCGCAGGCCATAAGATGCTAGATTGACCGTTTAGAAGCAAGTGGCTACCCACAAATACTGGTGATAAGGTAGCCGAAAAATATATAAACGAACTGAAAGGCAACGGCAAAACCATGAGCAGGTCGGTGGAAAAGAAACCCGTTGTAGTTCTGCTTTACATCCACAACATCTCGCACAGGCTTAAAAAGATCGCATCAAAACACAACATCCGTGTAGCGTTATCTGCCCCTCTTAAGCTCAAAGGGTTGTGTAACATGGTCAATAAATCGGGAGATCACGCGGGGGGTCAAGCGAGGTGTCAAGTACGACACCGGTTCCAGTTTGTGGAACGCGTTGAGGGCATGGTGCACAAAATACCTTTATCATGCGGAAAATCTTACATAGGTCAAGCGGGCAGGTGCTTAAATGAGAGGCTACGGGAGCACAAGTACTCGTATGAGCAGTTGCAAGCTCCAGGGAATCTCGCAGCACATTGCGCTAGATGTGTCTGTGATGCGTTATTTGAAGAAACATCTATCTTAGAAAGATCGAGTGAAAGGACGAAACGAGAAATTATGAGAGGCCTTTTTCATGACGTCAAGAAAGCACGAAACATGCGTTAGTGAACCGTCGGTTTCTCTTAATAAAACGAAAAAAAATAGACTTGCTAAAAATAGATGCCGTAGCATGATGGGTAGTGGACACGTGCATTGGCCGCCGCAGTCAAGATCTGAACGAAAGACGTGTTTACACTTGCATGACTGCGTCAGATCTGATTATGTATTTTCCTATTTTATCCTTTCAATGTGTTTTCTTTCAGCCATGCTTGTTTGAAGGGAAAAATAAATCAGTTCTTAGTTGCGCCTTTCATGTGTGATCCTTCTTCGTTCTAAATTGCAAACTTTAGCAGCGCAGAACAAAAGAATAAGGAAAAGAGGTGAGGAGGAGGAGTGGAGGAGAGCGGGAGTAGGTGAAGGGGCGGGGAGAACGAGGAGCAGGAAGGAGGGGAGGAAAAGGATGAGGGAAAGAGGAAAGGATACGGAGGAGGGGCATACCTTCCACTTCCTGCCCTCCCATCCTCCTCCTCAAGAGCTGCGCTCCAATTTCGCCTTGCAGAGAATTGTAAATGTCTTTCTTTCTTCTATTTTCACTTCATCTATCTTTCTATTTTGGTAATGGTAAGTGTTGCAACTTTTCCATCTGGCTCGAACGGCTGGGACTACGTTCTTACGGAGTTTGAGCCCTCCGTGATGTCTAATT